GCCTCACACTCCTGGGCATATAGGAGGAAGCCCCTCCTGCCTTCTCTCTCAGATGCCCCCTACTCTGACTCCTTCTTTCCTGTTACTGCCTGGCTCACTCTGTCCCATTCCCAGCAAGACAGGTCACTTTCCTAGCCATGGTCCATGCACTTGGCTGATACTGTCTGCATTAAGAGCCTTGTGACACCCCCACCCCACAAACCTTTGGTCTCCTCAAGAGCCTACCTTCCATTGCCTGGACAGGGTTCTATGCCAAAGGAATGGAACTGGAATAATGGGGAACTGCAACACAGGAAGGAGCAGGTTAAGCCTGTATACTTGGTCTCCGCCAGAGTCCAGGGGACCATCACTAAGGCCCTGGAACTTTCACAGAAGAGGATCCCCTTACCCTCAGGTACTCCCATTTCCTTCTTTAAGACAACCTGTCCCAATATCTACCCACCTTCCTGGGAAACCCACCCCAAAGCTGAAGGAAGGCTCCCAGCTCTGGCCTATCCCTCCCATTCCCATTTCAGTCTAAACAGTAGTTATCAAAGTGCCTACAGGAGCTTTGGGAGAAAAACAAAACAAAACAAAAACCCTGATGCCTGGGCTCTACCATCAGAGATTCTGATTTAATTGCTCTGGGATAGTCTGAATGTCAGGATTTATTTTTTAATTAATAGGCTGTATTTCGGAACATTTTAGGTTTATAGAAAAGTTGAGAGGAAAGTACAGAGTTCCCATATACCCTCTCAGCCTCCTCTCCTGCCCCCAAGTTTCCCCGTTAGTAACATCTTGCCTTATTGTGGTGTGTTTGTTAAAACCAATGAGATAGTAAAGACCACAGTGTACTTCAGAGTCCACTCTTTGTGTTGTACATTATGAAAGTTATGTAAGTATGATAAATATAAATAACGTATCACCCTTACAGTTTCATACAGAGTATCTTCACTTCCCCAAGAATCCCCCATGTCCCACCTGTCCATCCCTCCCTCCCCCCAAACCCCACCCTTCACCTACCCTCAACCCCTGTCAACCACTGATCTTTTTACTGTTGCCATACTTTTGCTTTTTCCAGAATGTCATAGAGTTGGAATCATATAGTATGTAATCTTCTCAGCTTCCTCATTGATTTTTAAGTTTTTTCATTATTTTTAATTGAGATGCAATTGACGTGTAATATTCTATAAGTTTAACAACATGTTGATTTGATACATTTGTATTGCAGTATGATTGCCACTGTAGTATTAGCTAACATCTTTGTCTCTTCACATAATTATCATTTCTTCTAGTGGTGGGAACAATTCAGATCTAGTCTCTTAGCAAGTTTTATATTTATAATAATTTTGTTGTCTATAATCACTGCACTGTGTATTACATCCCCAGGACTTATTTATCTACTAGTTACAGGTTATGTATCTTAACCTAGGTGATTTTAATGAACAGTGATGGTCAGTATTGAATAGCCCTGGTCTAGAATTTGGTAAAGGTGGGTGTAGATCTGATGCTCCATGTTTTTAAATTTAACGTGGGCAAAAGTCTCGTTTTCTTTTGATATGCCCATCCATCCATCCATCCATCCATCCATCCATCCATCATTTCAGTATATGTCCAGGGCCTTCTATACCTAGGCACTGAGTTAGACAATCAACTAAATCAACACTGTTCCTCTTCTCATGGCTCTCACAGTCCATTGCCGGAGACAGACATTAATCAAGTTGCCATGCATGTATGTGGATGATTTTAAACTGATATGAGTGATATATAGGAACTATGTTGTGGTGGTGGCTCTCTAAGAGTAGTTGGGAGGTTTCCCAGAGGAAAGGAGATCTGAGCTGAGATCTGAAGTTAAGGAAGAACTAGCTAGGCCAAGGAGGAGGAAAGAAAGCTCGGGAAAGAGACCAACCTGTGCAAGACCCTTGTGGTAGGAGGGAACCTGGTGCTTACCAAGAACTGAGGTGGTGATGTTGGGAGTGAGGAGGTACACAGTACAAAATGAAGCTGGAGAGGAAGGCAGGCCTGGATAATGTGTCCTGAAAAGATCAGTCTGCCTATTGTGTAGAGGAGGGATGAGGGTGGAGAAACCAGAAAAATGGAGAAATCAGTGGGAAGGCCACTGAGTGTCCAGACAAGATAGGATATGATGATGGCTGGGATGGAAAGAAGCAGAGGAATGGTAACCACGAGGATAGAAAGTAGCAGATGGACAAGAGGGATATGTAGGAGAAGACAGGTGCCTTGAGACATTCAAGGGAAGATGTGCAGTAGGCAGACAGACATGTGGTTTGGAGCTCAGAGGAGAGGGGAGATTTGGAGATGGAGATGTGGGCAACCTAGGGGTATATATGGCGGGGGAACTGGAAGCCATGGATATGATAAAATGGCCTAGACACTGAGCATGGGGTGAGAAGAAACAGGGTCTAGGACTGAGTCCTGGACAACTGTTAATATTGGGTAAAGAGGAAAACCCCAAAAAGGCACAGGAGCAGGATCAGCAGGGAAGGTGAAAAAGGAAAACCAAGTGTGGCTTTGTAACAGAAGAGTGTGTGTGGTTTCAAGAACTAGGGAGTGACCATCAACATCTATGATACAGAGTGGTCAAGTCAGATGAAGAAAATGCGGGAAGATAGTCCTTTCAAGAATTTATCTGTGTAGGCGGTTGGGGAACATGAATACAACTCCCTTACCAGGGTCAGCTGCCTCATGAGCTTTCCTTTAACTGTGGAAACTTTTCCTTAACTAACAACCTGCACATGTTCCAACAATAGACATAAACTGAGGGGGCGGGGGGTGTGAGGCATGGGTTGTATGTACCCAATTTAGAACTGCATTAAAGAACATCTCTGAGTAAGCATCACATCCAGTGAGTGGACCATGTTACCAGTCCTCAGGTAGCATTTGATTTCACCTTAGAAGCTTATATTAAGCTTAAGACCAGGCACTGGTCTCCTCAAGGTCACCAACAGTCAACAAACCTCTACACCCAAGCCAGGTTTCACTGAATTTGACACTTGATCACTTCCTTCATGAAACTCTCTCTCCTGTCTCCCTCAGTGTCCCACTCTCCTGGTTTCTCCTGTTAATAAGAAATCATCCAGACTTTGGAAATAGGAAAAAGGAATAGGAGAAAGCCCAGCAGTGATGTCCTCTCAGAGTAGTGTCAGGTGTTATTCAATGTGTCAGTTCCACCTGGGGATCATTGATTTTCTAGGGATGTGTACCTTTGCTTGACTTCTGATTTACTAATGAGTATTTTACAACTCTGTAAGAGTAGAGGCTAATTCATAGGAAACTTATAATGAGTAAATGATTCTTGTCAAATAGCAATGCAAATATTTTCTGTCTGATAAAGGGGAATCCCAAAGGTTGCACTTTCTTGCATTGTAGGGCTCTAACCTTTATTGTCAAGTTCATTTCAGCATTCCTTTGACTGACCAACTCTGTATTCATTCTCAAATTCTCTTATAAATTAGTATTAATATCTTACTGATGTCTACATTAATCAGTGAATAAAAGCTTTGACATGTGTATGTTTTATACTTAAGTCACTTTTTTTTTTTACTTTTTGAAAATTATTCTTACCCCTCTTAATTCTGTTAAGTGGCTTGCCAAAGTCACACATGGTATAAGGGGCAGAGCCAGTCAGTTTGAAACCCAGACATGTGTGATGCTGATTAAGCCCACCCTTGGTTTATAATTATTTATTCCTCCATTAATAGAGCTATTAGGGCCTCTGAGAACCTAGGGTCCCACTTACACCCTCTTCAGATGGGAAGACCAGCCCAGAGAGTGGCCAGATCTAGCCCAAGGTAACACAGGAAGGAAGGTGCAAAATCAGGACTCAAAAGCAAAAACTGACCAGTGGTGCCCTCTGGAAGCCTGTCTTCCTGTCTCTCCCTGTCTCCCAACCAGGATATCAGAAATGTTGCAAGAAACCATGCTCAGGAGTTCACAGTGAACTGAGCCTTGGAGAGTCAGGAAATTTGGATTCAAGCTCTGGGCTTTGTGCAACTCACTACTCTTCTGGAGTCTCAATATTTATGTATTTCAAATGGGCCAATTATTGGGAGACTTGAAAGAGACACCAAGGTTGGCAAGGCAAGGAGACAGTAAACCTACCAATAGGCTAGAAGTGAAGGACCAAGGCTCTGGAGCCTTAAGCTCAGATTCAGGTTTTCTTTCTTAAATAGCCTGTCACCTGGGTACCTAGGTGGCTCATTCACTCAGTTGAGCATCCCACTCTCGATTTCAGCTCAGGGGTCTCGATCTCAGAGTTGTGAGTTTAAGCCCCACATTGGGCTCCATGCTGGAGTCTATAGAAAAATAAAAAATAGGGACGCCTGGGTGGCTCAGTTGGTTAACCGCCTGCGTTCGGTTTGGGTCATGATCCCGGGGTCCTGGGATTTGACCCCTATCAGGTTCCTTCCTCCGTGGGATCCCTGCTTCTCCCTCTGCCTCTGCCTCTGCCTGCTGCTCGCCCTGCTTGTGCGCACTCTCTCGTTCTCTGACAAACAAATAAAGAAAATCTTAAACAATAATAAAAAATAAATAATAGCCTGTCACCTTAGATAAATTTCTATGCCTCAGTTTCCTAATATGTGAAATGGTGCTAGTAATAGCACCTATTCAATAGGGTTGTAAGATATCAAGCAGTCAGAACAGTCACTGACATGTAATGATCATTTAGTAAAGCTGACTTTTATAACATGTTTAATGCTCAAGGCGTACCTATTCTCTAAGTGAAGGAAACATCCATCTCCCCCAGGCCCCGCCCCCTCCGGCAGGCCCCGCCCACGTCCCCCCCTAAGGCCCTCCTCTTCACCAGGCCTCGCTCCAGCTGTCCTGGGTTCCTCCCGCCACCAGGGGGAGGGGGCGCTGAGGGGGAGGGGTGTGGAGCTTCTTGCCGAAGTAGGCGACACTCTAGAGAGCAGCGGCGACTGCTCTGTGGCCAGGGGCGGCGGCGCTCTAGCCGGCGAGTGTACGAGGCGGGTTCTCAGTGGTGCGGCCGGCGGGAGGCTATGGCGGCCGTACGGGGCCTGCGAGTGTCGGTGAAGGCAGAGGCCCCAGCGGGGCCGGCTCTAGGGCTCCCGTCGCCTGAAGCGGACTCTGGTTTGGAGCGTGGCGAGCCGGAGCCCATGGAAGTGGAGGAGGGCGAGCTGGAGATTGTGCCGGTGCGGCGCTCGCTGAAAGAACTGATCCCGGTAGGGGCGGGGGGGCGGGGGCGAGGAGGAGGTCGCCGAGCTACTTCCCCGCTGCGGAGCCGGCCCGCCGGAAAGGGAGACGGCGGGCGCCTGGGCCGGGGGAAGTCAGGGGAAGGGGAAAGGGGAGTGAGCGCTCAGGGCGCGGAGGCGCCAAGCTTGAGGAGAGACGGGGGGCGGGAGAAGGGACGCCGGGGCGCCCGGAAATGGGTGTTGAGGGGGCTGGAGAAGATGGGAGAGACTAAGGGGTATTTGAGGACACTCCCTTTACTGCTTCTTTGAGCCAAGCTGTGCAGGAGTGTGAGCGAGGAGGCGCTGGAGTTGTCTGGGGGCTTGAGATAAAGGCGGGGCCCGGGGCGGGAACGGGAGGAACTGTCGGGTGACGCCTGCATCAGGGTCTCCGTTGGAGCTGCTGTTTGTTAAAATATAACACTCGCGGTTTTTCTTAGAGGGTTGGTCTTGTCAGCAGCCGAAACTCGGTGTTTCTTTTGTGACTTGGGAGTCCTCTTGTCCCCATTCCACTTGATCTGTAGCACCTACACCGTGGCCTCAGCATGTGACCCTTAGTGAGACCAAAACATAAGCAAACCAGCAGTAGTCCTTGGTCCGTCTTTCGTCACATGGGGAGGGGCGGGGAGAGGTGTTTTGCTTTTGGTCTCATGGTCCTATGTCCCGTTCTTAGGGCCGGTCTCAGGCCTGCATGGGTTTTATGTACTTAGTTTCTCATCTAACATGAACTACTTTTTAACCACATGTCAGCAAGTCTGGGTTTTAAACTGAAGTTGTGGGAAAAGGCGAAGAAGATAGGATCACTAAAGATAGCAAATGATGACTCTGGTAACAACAAATAACATAGTGGCATTTTACCATTTACTACATTATGTTGTTTAAATTTCACTGCAGCTGTGAAGTAGATATTATTCCTTTAGTGCAATATGGAGTTATTGCATCCCCCACTAGGTGCCAGGCATAATCCTAGGCACCTGATCAAGGTCAAGATCAAACTGCCTCGGGAGTTTGTTTTAGTAAGAGGACACAAATACAGAATTTCTAATAGTGGTAAATGCTGTGAAGAAGGTAAAACAAGTTAATGGGACAGAGAGTGCAGAAAACAGGGTAAGTGTGCAGAGCCAGAAACCAAATGGGATAGGATGGTCAGGGAAGTCCTCTGATAGTGACATTTAAGATGAAGCCTGAGTGACAAAAAGGAGCCAACCAAGTGCAGGTTTGGAAGAAAGTATTTCCAGCAGGAACAACAGTAGGTGCAAAGAATCCGAGATGGGAACAAAATTGTTTTGTTGGAGAAATGTAAAGTTCTGTAGAGCAAATGGGAGAGCAGTTAAGGAGGTCAGGAAGGTAGGCAGATACCATGGAGGAAACCCAAGCCCAGAGAGGCCAAAGGAGTTGTACAGTGGCAAGTAATTAGTGAATCTCAGAGCTGTGACTTCGGTCTTTGGCTTCCAAATCCCATCCTCTTCATTGCACTGTGCTATGTTTTCCCAGGAGGTCTAGATGAGTCTGGACTTTCTGTATTTTGGTAGACTTGTGCTCCACCTGGTGGCCTTACATGATGGATTTGTTTTGTGTGTGGCTGGGGAGATGAGTGAGTGTGCCTTACTTAACTTGGACATTTTTCATGAAAGCCTGTATTTTCATTTACATAAATACCTTCAGCAAATGGACTTAGTTAAGGTTTGGGACAGGGTCTGATCTAGATAAGACTACTTCTTAGAGTGGTTGATTGTGCATTACCTGGTGTTACAGAGACAGGCTTCCTCATGAATAAAGGGTTGCCAGGGTGAGGAAAGATTGCTGAAAGGAATGACTATCCAAAAGGAATCTGTTACAGGGCTGTCTTTTATCACAAGTTTTTCTTCAGTTCCTGTTAGCATTTTTCACTCTTCCCCTCGTGTTAGGACACAAGCAGAAGGTATGAAAACAAGGCTGGCAGCTTTATCACCGGAATTGATGTCACCTCCAAGGTAAGACAGACCATAAATTATTTATTCATTTTGATAAGCTGGTGAACTTAATGAACTTGGTCCGTAGGATTTGTGAAACAGCAGTTATTCTTTACCTCCTTTTTTCTTTTGTTGCTTCATTAAGGCCTTTTTTAATTTAAATTTTGTATTACACAATAATGTCTTCATGCATCCTAAAAACATAGAGGCAGCATTTGTGTTCTTACATTTATGAAAAGATAAAATCCATGTACCTAGTTGCCTGTGCTTAGCCATATTTAAGAAAAAGTTCTTCACTGGGGATGCTTTTTTTATGTTACCTCAGCTCTTTAAAAATGTGTTTTTAAATACTGTTTTTAATGCTATTTCCACTTTAAATGAGACAGAACATGAAAAGTACCTGGCATATAGTAGGCTGATAGTAAATGTCTTTATTCTTTACTGATTGCAGGCTTAGAAAAATAGGATGTCCTGATTGTGTGGCTGTCTAAACTTTGAAAGCCAAGTCAGCTGAATTACTCTCAGTACCTGGGAGTATTGCCTTTTTTCTAGTGACTGCTATTACTAGGTTACCAGCTTTCCCATAACTCTTTACAGAGCCTAACCTATTGTTTTCCTTATTATAAACAGTCAGGATACATTTGTTGCTTTAATTGGTGGTATCCAACTTAAACATTCATTCTGATTTTAATGTGTGCAATTAAGTTTAGAACAGAATTTTGAATTATAATTGAGTAATGTTTAGCTATATTGGGTGCATAAAAACAAAAATAAATATGTCATGCTTACCTTTTTGTATTTTATCGGGTCTCATTCTCAGATTGCTTAAAAGCCAAAAGAAAGAACTAGTTATCTTTTAGACAGGCAATGAAATAGAATAAAGTGAAGATATTTTCTTTTTTTTTTTTTTGAAGATATTTTCTTACTGTAATTGAAAAAGAAGTAGATTGTTCTGTTTACTTTTGTACAGTTAGCCATTATGCGAAACATGTATGAGGGAAAGGGTGGTAGCCCCAGAACTGGGACTTAAGTTGTTACTAAGGAAAGCTAGATTTGTTGTTTGCACTGGGAAGACTTTCAGTGAAGAAAATTAGCATAACTGTTGGGAAATAACAAAGTGTTGCTGCTTTACCAATCCCCACAAGCTTTCTTGTAGTCAGACCTTCAATTAGTGTGGCAAAGTCAGTGTACAATTAGTGAAGAGTTCCTAAGAGCTATCAGAAACCCATAGTTGGACCTGGACTTATTTTAGCTCTTGGAGAAAAACTTATGAAGCTGATTATTTTTTCAGGGAAGTATCTGTGCTTCTTGTCACTTAAAGATGAAAACCGGCAATTCCATGGACACAAGCCTAGAATAGAGGAGAGAGTTTTTTTGCTTCAAAATTATTTTTAAACAGGGAAAACGCTTTAGGAAGTGGACTGCTCAGGCAGACATAATGTGATAGATGTGATTACCATGCACACAGATGATGTGAAATGGGGGTGGTGGTGGGGCTTCTAGAAATAGTACTGAGATCAGAAGATCTGCACCCCCACCACCAGCCAGAGTATCTCCAGCAAACCTTTTTACTTTTTTGTATCTCAGTTTCTACACCTGGAAGATTGGAGTGAGATTGTTTAGTTGTAATTTGTTTGCATGATTGCTAATAATCAGTAAAATGTCAGAGAACCAAAACATTCATTACTCATTGAATCATGAAGATTATTACAAATTATAGCAGTATTAGTATATGCTCTGCCAGTCATTGACTGAATATCCATTTCTCTGCAAAAATTATTAAAGGCACAGTGTTGGTTATTTCTTCTGATTTACTTTAGGATTGTCACTGAAGCATTGTGTTGCATTTATGATTTAACTTTCCTCCTCCATGTGTCACTTCTTTGGCCTTTTCTGTACCTCCTAGGAAGCAATTGAAAAGAAAGAACAGCGAGCCAAGCGCTTCCACTTTCGATCAGAAGTAAATCTTGCCCAAAGAAATGTAGCCTTGGACCGAGACATGATGAAGAAAGGTACAATGTGTTGGGGGTATTTTTCTGCATTTTCCCAGAGAATGGGTTTTCCCTGCCATGGCCTTGTGCTTCTGGCCTTCCAAACACTCTGAAGAGAAGGGACTTGCCAAACCTCCATTTCTGAGTGATGTGTTTAAAGTTGAGCTGCTGGGGTATCTGGGTGGCTCAGTCCGTTAAGCATTTGCCTTCAGCTCAGGTCATAATCCCAGAGTCCATGATTAAGCCCCACATCAGGCTCCCTGCTCAGCAGGGAATCTGCTTCTCTCCTCTGCCCCTCACCCCACTCTCATGCTCTCTTTCTCTCTCAAATAAATAAATAAAATCTTAAAAAAAGAAAAAAATGAAGTTGAGCTGCTGCTAGCTGTGTCTTAGATGCTATAGCTGGAAGAGAGATCATCTTGTCAGAAAGCCCAGAGATGATTACCCGGTTAGTGGCAGAGCTGAGATTGGAACCTGTACTTCTACAGAATCTTACTCATTTTCTGCTTTTATACTGGAAGTGTCAACTTTTCTTTGCCTGTAAAAGTGTGGGATGTCTGGGTGGCACAGTTGGTTAAATATCCGACTCTTGGTTTTGGCTTAGGTCATGTTCTCATCTGGTCAGGAGATCGAGCCTCATGTTGGGCTCTATGCTCATTACAGTCTGCTTAAGTCTTTCTCCTCCTTCTGCCCCTCCCCCCCACATGCTTGTTCATGCACACTCATTCTCCCTCAAATAAATAAATGAATCTTTAAAAAAAATGTAATGGAAGTGTATCACACTGATGGTTTTTTTTTAAGGGGAGTCAGAGGAATACTGGGACTTTAGGGGAAAGCCATTAATATTTGTGTGATTTTTGTGTTTTATTAAGGTAAATATTTTGCTTTCTAGAGCTCACCCTGAGGTATATATAGTAATCTGCCCTAGTCTTCAAAAGCAATTTATAAAAAAGGAAAAATTAATACTTTTTCAATTCACAGCCCATATTATTCCACTCTAATATAAATGCATCAATACAAATGGTCTCCTTCTCTAGTATTTGCAAATTTGGGTATTTGAAGGGCTTAATAGGCATCCCTCTAAATGCATGTTAAAGGTCTCTGCTTTGATGTGTGAGTTTCTCTTGTTGGGAGCTTGCTGTCTTACCAGGCACTACGTTAATTAGCACATTACACATTTGTTTCTTAATCATTTCTCACAACAACTCTATGAGGAATATATTTTTATCCCTATTCTACAAAGAAAGAAAGAGGCTCAAAGAAATTTAATAAATGCCCAGGGTTACACAACTAGTACAAGTAGAGTCAGGATTTGAACCCCGGTTTTCTGACTCTAAAGCCTTGCCCTTAATTACTTTGCTCTTTTGCCTTATAGTATGTATATGATACCATAAACCCAAACCTCCTCAGTCCATCCCACTGGATAGAGTAGTTTGGATACACACTCAGCTCTGGATGCTGCTTTACTCTTTTTCTGCATCATGAGTTCAAGTTGGAAATATGACCTTGGTTCCTGTGCAGGCTGGGTTTCCAGGCATCTGCTTGAGTGGATTTCTGTTTTAGGAAAACAGAACAGCTGTGCAGCTTGGCATTCATGTCTGTACAGTCTGGGCTCAGGTAGACCTCTGAGGCCTCTTAGAACTCCACCTTTAAACACCATAGTTTTACCACAGCTGTTTACTTCTAGTCCTGTGAACATTTCTTGTGATATCCTTTTTTTTTTTTTTAAGATTTTATTTATTTGTCAGAAAGGGAAAGCGAGCAAGCGTGCACACAATTCAGGGGGGAGCTGCAGGCAGAGGGAGAAGCAGCTCCCCACTGAGCAGGGAGCCCCATGTGGGACTTGCTTTCGGGACCTTGGAATCATGACCTGAGCCGAAAGCAGATCCTTAACTAACTGAGCCACCCAGGTGTCCCATCTTGTGACATCTTGCTCTGATCTTATTCATGCCTTTCAGTCGGGTGATTAGCCCTTCCTGTCATCCCATGCTTTATCATGTTTGGATGTCACTTCCTCCATAAAGCATCCCTAATCACCCACTCAAATTTCTCTCCTACTTCTGTTGGAACTCTTTAGCATGCTAAGCCCTCCTGGAATTCAGTCTCAGTTTCTTTGTGAATGTGGGCAGATTATTGAACCTTTTTAGGTCTCAGTCTCCTTGTTTATAAAGTGGGAAAATGATACCTACCTGAAAAGGATCACTTTTCAGAGTTAAGTTTTAATTTAAAAAAAAAAAAAAAAGTTTTGTTTTGCTTTTCTGGTTTTTTTTTTTTTTTTTGGAAGAGCAAACCTGATTTCGTGGTTCTAAAGATACTTCTAAAAAGCAATAGATCTACCTCAATGTCCGCTAGAGCAAGTTGCTCATTACAACATGATTCTCATGTAGGAGGGAGCACCACCTAGGATAGCATTGCTGAACTCTGGAGAACTCTGGTGCTTATCCATATCAGTTTAAATTAGAATGGGGGGTGGGTTGTAAAGGTCCCAGAGATAGTTCTTTCTTTTGTGTCTCCCCTAGTAATTCTACTGTATAGTCAGGATCGAGAGCCTTTACTCTTATGGTTAAGAGCCCGGGTTCTGAAACCTAACCTGTCACTTTCTAGTTCTTTGACCTCGGGCAAGTTATTTAGCCTCTAAACCTGAGTTTCCTTATTTGGAAAGGCAGATTAACAGTAATTTTTATATGGTTATTGAGAGGCTTTACTAAAATGTTACAGTTCTTAGGATGACATATATAGTAAGTGCCCAATAAATGTTGTAATTATCTAATGTACTCCATCTCAGGCAATCATCTAAGTGGCCTAGCCTCTTGGGAGAATGGGGACGTTGGAATAAGTATCTTGACTCCTGCAGCTCCACCAGGTGTCAAGTTATTTTTCCTCCTCTTCCTCCCTTTCCTCTCCCCCACCTTCTTCTTCTTCTTACTCCTCTTCATTCCAATAATAATAAAAGATACCACTTGATAAATGCTTATTATGTGCTGGTCACTCTGCTATGTGGTTAACTTATCCTTTGATGAATGCTGTGAGAGAACAGTATTCATCGTTTGTTTTACTGATGAGGAAACTAAGGTGCTGAGTTTGAGAAGCTCACTCAGATCCCACAGCTAGGTAAGTAGCAAGACTGGAATTTGAAGGCTGGTCTGACGGAGGCCTGTGTTCTGTGACCTTTCTGCCAGCATTCAGGGACATAATTTGGGATATATTGCACTAGACCATTCTGCATCAGGAGTTCTTGCTACTCTTGAGTGATTCGGTGTCAAGCAGCTTTAGTCTCCTTATCTCCAAGATCAAAGCTCTCATGTTTGGAAGGGACTTAGAGGTTATCTAGACCCAACCTCCTACCCAGTGCTGCAGGCCTTTTGGCAAGATTCTCAGTGCTCTTTTGACCTTTGCCTGAACATTTCCTAGTGGTGGCGCAAGAACTGTTTATGAAGTGGTCAGTCTTATATTTGGATAAGACCTTGTATTGAGCAGAAATTGCTTTCTAGTAATTTCTGTTAGTTACTTTGTGACTCTTAGAACAACATTAAGTCCTTTCCTCATTCACACAGTAAACCTTCTGGTGAGGGAATTGGCAGGCTGTGCCCTAAACTCTCTTTATGTGACATGACTTTCTGGTCTCCTTCCTCTAGACTCTTTCCAGTCTCAAAATGCCCTACATAAGGGGAGGTGTAGATTCCAGACATGGTTGGATTCTGGGGAGTGTGGCAGGACTGTTACTGTAGTCTCTGTCCTACCTATTTCATAGTGTTGTATTAATCTTCTAGTGTGCCTGAGCACCCAGGGCTTTTCCCCAGGGATCAAGAGTCTTCCCATCTTGTACTTGAAACATTTTTTAAGAATTACCTTTTTATTTATCCTTACCAATTTACATCTTGGTGATTTCAAGACTGTTTCAGCCTATTGTGTTGATTTTATCATAACTACCTTTAAACATTTTAGCTATACCTAATCTACACTTTGGTATACATGGCTTCTGCATCTGCATCTGTTGGTAAATCTTAAACAAGATAATCCTGATGTTAGTTGTTTAGATTTTTATGTTTATTACATTCATTCTCTTACATTAGTCATTAGTAACTTACTGTTTATCTTCCATGTTTGTTCTTTGGCAGGTTGTGCTCCCCTAAACTCTGCTGCCTTTTCTTTTTTGGGGATCACCTCTCATACTTTGAGTTATTATATTTAGTGTATTCCAAAGTTTTTGATCATTTTATTTTTATTTTTTTTTAGGATTTTATTTATTTATTTCAGAGAGCGAGAGAGAAGGAGAGTCAGGCTCCGCAGGGAGCCCAACACACAGGGCTCTATTCTAGAACCCTGGGATCATGACCTGAGCCCAAGGCAGATGCTTAACTGACTGTGAGCCACTCAGGTCCCCGAAGTTTTTAATCAAAGGCCTTGGAATTGACTACTTTTTCTCTGGATTTTCAGAAATCTGCTTTCCTAAAAACCTGAGTTTTGTGTCCTACTATCTGTCATTCTTTGTCTTCAAGTCAAAGATGATTCCCTCACCACCTTGCTTTTAAGTTAGTACTCAGTAAATGTCTAGTCCTCATTCCCCAGTGCATGTTTTCAGTGCCACATCAGCAATTAGCCCTTTCTCATTGGTTGGACATAAATCTAGGTGCCTTTTTTGTTGTTTTATTTTAGGCAGTGACACCAACAAGGTGAGGAAGTATTGAGCATCCTTTTTTTGGCAGTCTTCCATCAAATCTTGAACTTAACAAAGTTTCCATCTCCAGTGGATCTTGCTGCTGTCGTTGTCAGTCAGCTTGGTTCTCTTTTGAGAATGAACCTTTTTTATCCTCCAGCTGACTGAGAGTAGTTTTTGTCTGGCTTTTGCATCCCTTTTTTATATCTTTACCTGCTTCTTTTGACCAAGATTGTCCATTGCCCATTTCTAGATTTTTATGTCATTCTCTCTTCTTCAAAATATAAACATCTGAGCCTAGAAGCTTTGTTCCTTCTACTCTTTTCCTTTTGTTTGTAAACTATTTTTTCATTATAGGGTTTTT